TCAAAAGATTGAGATTAGCAGGCAAGGAAAAAGAAGATGAGGAAAAAGATGAAGCCATTGATGGATTAATTTCAAGCTTGAGAGAGCTTTAGTGATGCTCTGATACCATAAAGAATTATAGAAATCTTTTCTGATTAACTCAATATGTGATTACAATCTTTTATTTATTCAATATTTCTAACTAACTAAATAATATCTATAACTAACTAAACAATCTAACAAACTCTATCTAACTACCATGTGAGACAGTTGAGCAGTTTTGCTACGTTATCTTAAGCTGCAAAAGATATTGAAACTGTAGCTCTAGTTATGGCTTTAGTTGCGGATGTAGGTCCAGTTGTAGCTGTAGCTGCTGTAGCTCATGCATTGTCATCACAGGCAATATAAATGAAGCAATTTCAATCAATGAATTTCAACAAAAAAAAAATAAAAATTGAATTTTAGTAAGATTTCAGAATTAGAAAAAATACCTGTAATTTGAAAAGGAATTTGGCTTCATCTGCTTTATCATCGTGTTTGGATCATCTTCATTACATCTTTGAATTGATCTTCTTGGTCTTCTTTGGATGGTCTTCATTAGGGTTTTGGGTTTGGATAATTTTTTAGAGAGAGGAATCGTTTAAGAAGAGGTTTAGAACAGAAGGAGAGATGGGATCGAAAAAGGAGAGAGGAGATTATTTTGGTTAAGGTTAGGGTTTCGATCGTTAAAGAAGAGGGAATAGAACGGAGGGAGAGAGAGATAGAAGAGGAAGATGATAAGAAGAAGGTGAGAGATAAGGGGTTGTGATGGAAAAGAGGATTGGAGAAGAGAGAAGGAAATTTGGAATTTGAGGGTTGGAGATCGGTGGTGGGTGTGGTGGTGGTTCTGTTGGTTATGGTGGTGGTGGTTCCTGTGGTTGTGATGGTGATTGTGGTGATGAAGAAGGTGAAAGACAAAGGGAGAAGAGGTGTCACGACCCAAACCCGCCCCTGTAAGTTTAACATCGTAACTGGCCAGTAATCCGTGGATTATCGAAGGCCTCTGAACATATTAGCAAATAGTAAGGGGTTACGGAAGCAATTATACAAAATAGACAAGGTCTAATGTGCTGTGATAACATACATGGGACATAACCTTTCAAAACTTATATATATACATAAACATGCCAGTCAAGGACACCAATATTTACAAAATATTTACAGAAGTGAACTTCCCAAGACCTGACTTTACAAAGTAGTCACAGAGACTAGCATAAGCACAAAAACAGCCATGGAAATGGACTTCAATCGGGACCTCCTCGGGAGGCACAACGGTTGGCTGACAAAAATAGAAACAAAGGCCGTCAACTCTGGCCCTAGTCACACGCCGGCTCACCTACATATATAATATAAACTGTGAGCGAAAGCCCAGTGAACAATAACAGAGTAAAGGGGTTTCAATGAATGAGTCCGAAAAGATTCAGAAATCATAATTCAGTTTCATATCAAAATCATAATTTGTCCAGATCATATACAGACAGAAATCATAAGTCATGCGCAAGCATACGTGATGCATCCATTAGCATTAACAGAACAGAACAGAACGTATACACGTGAGGTTACGAATAACTAGTTCCATAAAGGAACCTCCGGATCCGGGTAACAGAACAGAACATAAATATGCTGAGCCCCCGTGACGGGGCCTCCGGTATGGGTAACAGAGTGCTAATAAATTAAGTTCAATAAAGGAACCTCCGATACCGGGTAACAGCTAATAGATATCACATGATACTAAGAATATCACGAATACATATCAGAAATTGGACAATCATTCATTGAACAGAACATATCATTTTAGAAAACAGATCTCATTTTATCACACAGAAAATAAATACAGTTGAACATAACTTTACTAAGTTATTACTCACAGTTGGCCTTGAGACAGACAGACGGAGCAGATTGGTTAACAGTGTATGGCGCGTGACCTACAGAACACATAACAGATACACACTTGAAACATACTTTCGAATTGAACACAACCTGTTTCGTTTGCTCTTAGTGTGTTTCTAACCTTTAATCCTCATTATGGAGTCTTAAACATGGCTTAGGAATGCCTAGGATGGAATGAGGATACAAGAATGCATTGGAAAACATTTCATAAAAATTTGTTGAAATAAGGTCCACGCTCGAGCGTGGCTTTCCCCGCTCGAGCGGACTGTAAAATTTGACAAAAGTGTTGAATGCAGGATTTTCACACTCGACGAATGCTCGACCCACGCTCGAGTGTGAGACTCAGAGTCTCGCTCGAGCGTGGTTTCCCCCACTTGAGCGAACTGCAAAACATACAAACTTCTGGGTATACACATTTCACGCTCGAGCGTAACTCTCGCCGCTCGAGCGGAATGCATGTACTCAGGGTTCACGCTCGAGCGTGAAAGTCCCCGCTCGAGCGTGGGTCAAATTTCTGGAAAATCCAGATTGACCTCCAAACATGAAATTCAACATTCAACCATCTAAAACTCATTTTTCTGGGCCAAAACTTTGGAAAACACTTGGTAACCCATAAAACAACATGTTAAAAGCATCATTTCAAGAAATCATAGCTCAAGAGCAAACCAATTATGCACAAACTCAACTTAAACTTTATAGATGATCCAAAACATGACATGCATGCATGAATTAATCCTCAATTCAACATTTTAACCCAATTCCTAACTTTAGACACTAATTAACCATGAACCATGAAAGAAACAATTCAAATTCAAGTTCAAGGGGATGAAATCTCTACCTTAGGTCTTGAATTCTAGGTGTAGGAGCTCAAATATGCAATTCTTCTCTAATTTCTTCTAAGTCTCCAAGCTAAATCTCTTGTTGAACTCAAATTCTCCTACTCTCCCTCTCTCTCTCGAATTGGTCTAAGAAAGAATGAAGGAATGATGCAAAAAGATATAAAATCTATTAATGGCCTAAAGTGCCCACTAGTGGCAAAGAGGCAATTAATTCAAGTTAATGTAATTTAATTTTATTTAATCATACCAAATCAAATTTAAATTAAATCTACCATAAAATCACATAAATTCTAATTGACACATAACACCAATCAATTTCGGAATCGGGCGCCGATAAGGCTTTCAATTCGCAGTTCAAAGTCAAAACATGAACAGATCGTTCTACACCGAATAGATAGAACACAAAAATCAAACAACACACATGCAAATTAATTCCAAATTCCTCCTAATCTACTGTTAGGCATAATTATGTGCGAATTAACATTAATCAGATGTCGGGGTTATTACAAGAGGGTTGGAGAAGAGAGAAAGAAATTTGGAGTTTGAGGGTTGGAGATCGGAGATGGATGTGGTGGTGGTGGTTCTTGTGGTTGTGGTAATGAAGAAGATGAGACACAAAGGGCAAGAGTGAGTGAGAAAAAATGAAGACGGTGAGAGAGAGGAAGAGCGATGAAGATTGGTTCTGGAAAGAAGAGAGATAGAGAGGTAGACATTGGGAGATGATTTGGATAGACGGAATCAGAGGGTAATGTTAGATCATTGGATTAAATAATCCAATGGTACTCTTTTGTCATTGGAATGCACAAATTGAGCAACGACACTTTTTCTTCCTCCAATTCAGAAAAGTTTGAAACGGCTATAAATTAAACGAATAAAAAAAAGGGTCATATTTTTACTCCCTATAAATATAAACAACCAATCTCAATTTGAATACACAACTTTCAATCTACATAAATTTTTTGTTTGTTTTTTTACACAATCAGTATAGAAAATTCATGAAAAACAAAGAGAGGAAAATCATTCACCGCTCAAGAAGATGTGACAATTTGTAGAGCTTGGTGTCACATTATTGAAGACCCAATTGTTGGAAATTCGCAATCTCATGTTCATTTTTTGGGAGGAATTTTTGAAAATTATTACTCGCTGCAAAATGATCACTTAAGAACACAAGTGTCTATCTCATCTACTTAGGGTGTAATCATGAAATGTTGTAACAAATTTTGTGGGTGTTTAGTGCAAGTTGAAAATCTACACTCAAGTGGGATGTTTCAAGTTGATATAGTAAGATTTCATCTTCATTTATTATGTTAGTTTTTTTTTTTAATTTTTTAATTTATCTTATATAAAAATTAACTAATTAATTAATTTAATATTTTATTCATACAGATGCTTTAACCAAAACTTTTATACCCTCAAGATGGAAACAAACATTTTGCTTTTTAATATTGTTGGCCAATCTTGCAAGACAATATTAGGTGGCAAGATGTAACTCCTATAAACATAGTGAAGTCAAGGATACATACATCGTTTTTCCCTAATTCAGCCCCCAAATCCCCTATGGATAACTGCATTTATCTTGAAGACAACAACAGTTCAAGTGTTGGTAACAATCTAACTATTGGTAATAATCCAAATGATGATGGTAGTGTCTCTGCAAGGGGTAAAAGGGCTATGGGTAGGAAATCTGCAAAAGAATTGCTTTGGATAAGTGAAGCTATTTAAGCTGAAGTCCACAAACTGAAAGAGAAGAAAAAATGGTTCAAGCATTGCAGGAGATGAAAAAACTTAAGATTAAAAAAGAAGAATTTTTGCAGGAGTTTAGAGAACTTGAGATCGAAAAGAAAGAACATTTGATAATGACTATGGACATTTCTCATTTGGACCCTCAGACGAAAGCGTATTACATAATGCGCAAAAATGAGATTTTCGCAAAGTGGTTCGCATATGTCAGCAACCTAAATTACTATTTTCCTTTGCCTCCTGATGAATAATTATGGGAGAATGTATTTTTTAATTTTGCAATGTCATTTATTTGTCAATGTAATTTTGAGTCTTTTTTATGTTCCAATGTAATTTTATTTTTGCAATGTAATATTGACTAATTTTTAGTATAATTTTAATTTTTCAATGTTATTATGAAAAAATACATATATTATTTAAATGAAGACAATAAAGTTGCAAATGAAGACAATTTTATTAAAATAAAAATACATTAAATGATATTAAGTGTCATTAAAAATATAAAATAAAAACCTAATCTAACTCTCCAGATCGGGACCACAAGTGTTCAATTAGATCATTGCGAATTATATTATAGGCTTCAATAGATCTAATCATCTGACGATTTAACATAAATTCAACATACTCCTGATTTGGATCGCGTGACACTTGACATGGAGTATTAGTGGTATCAATTTGTAGTAGTGTTGCACTGCATTCATTTTCTGGAATATTACGCTCATCTTCAATGATCATATTACGCAAAATAATGCATGTTTTCATGATGCAATACAGATCCTCATCACTCCAACCTCTCGCTGGAACTCTAACAATATTAAAACGTGCTTGGAGCACTCCAAATGCCCTTTCGACATCTTTCCGACCTGTCTCTTGCATCCTCGCAAATAGTTGTCTCTTTAAACATTAAGGTTGAGATATTGTTTTTACAATCGTTACCCAATGAGAATAGATACCAATAGTAAGATAATATCTCATGGTGTACGTGTGATTATTGATGATATAGTTGGCAGTAGGGCACGTCATCTAGTTAATTCAGAAAATAAAGGCGACTTGTTAGGAATAGTAATATCATTCAAAGAGCCAGGCATGCCAAATAAAGCATGCCAAATCCACAAGTCGTAGGAGGCGACAGCCTCGAGTACAACTATTTGTTTGTGTTAGTGTCCAGTGTAAGCACTGGCTTGGGCAGTTAAACATGTATCGCAACGCCAGTGCATACAATCCAAACTTCCTAACATTTCGGGAAACCCGTGTTGCTCTCCCTTTTGCAATAATCTGGTGACATCTGCCTCATTTGGGGATCTTAAGTAAACGCCTTCATAGATAGCAATAATCGTTTTGGTAAAGAAACTCAAGGCTGCAATTGCAGTAGTTTCGTTGATTCTGATGTACTCGTCTACAGGATCAGCAGGTGCGCTGTGTTGTAGGATCCAAAGTGCAGCAGTCATCTTCTGTACACTGGATAATCTAGGAGCACCAGTGGCATCATGGGTTTGCATGAAGTGCTTGTTGACTTGTTGAAGATTATGTAAAATATTAAGAAATAATGACCGCCTCATTCGAAAACATATTCAGAAGTATTTTTCTAGGTAAACAGGATTATTTGCACAGTAATCTCTATAAATTTGTTCGTCACCTTTGACCCTCTCACGATTAATGTATCAACGACCACTTGTGGAACCAACATGTCTGGTTGGTTGGTTTAGGGTTATTGCTTGCATTCTTTGTTGTTGCACTATTAATAGTTGCATTATCATTATATCATCATCAGATGATGAAAATTCATCAAAATCTCCATTGAAGATAGCTTTAGTGAAATTGTTCATTGTGGGTGGGTGGGTAAATATGAAAATTGTAGAAAATCTTGTGGGTGGGTACAGAGAGTTTAGAAGATATGAAAATTGTGGGTAGATAAATATGAAAAATTGTAGAAAACCTTGTGTTATAATTTATTGAGAAAATTGTGGGTGGGTGAATGATAGATAGTTGATGGTGGGTAGTTGTTGGCAAGTGAATTTTTTAATGAATAATGAATGGTTGTTAGACAGGTGGTTGTTGGTGAATGAATGTTGGATGATTGTTGGTCGGTAGTTGTTGGTGAATGAATGCTTGGTGAATGATGGATGGTTGTTGGCAGGTAGTTGGTGATTGTTTATTTTTTAATGTAGTTAATAATTATGTTTTTTTTTGTAGTGGTATGTTTTTTGGTGAGGTGAATTATATTTATTTTTTTTTTCAATTTTTATATTTGTTTAGTCGGGAATTGTAGACACCCCATTTTTGACCGTCCTCAAGACTTGGACATCATCGCTTGTGCACTTGATGATTGCGACTGCATGTGCTCATTTTAGTGCCCAAAGCCCTCGATAGAATGCCTTGTTTTTGAGCCTTCAACCCTGTCCATTCTATGCCTTGTTTTGTACTAAACTTTAGTGCTTTAAGCTTGCAACCCCTGGTGGCTAGCCGACCACTGTTTGAGGCTGTCGACTACCAATTAAGCCTTACTGGCCACCCTTGTGCCTTGCCGGCCTGTGGTGCGGCCTGTCGGCCATCACTGGTGGCCAGCCGGCCACCAGTGACTTTTTTCCAGATATTTTTTTGACCTGTTCTAGCTGTTACCACAATTGGCTGCATCACCCTACACGTGTATGGAGGGATTTATCTCAGCCAAATACATGTTTTTATATATATATGGGGTCTCCTTCCCCATTTTTGAGGGTTAGAAAATTTGGAGCAAAAAATCTCTCTCTCTACATTTCTCTCTCTCTCTCTCTCTCTTGCAATTTTGTGCACATTAGCCTAAATACACTACATTTTTGCCTACACCTCCTTAACCAAAGTTGATCATCTTTGAGCTGAGGTTCCTTGAAGCCTTCTTGGAACTCTTGAAGTTGGTTTTGGCTTGAATTAGTGCCTAAAGTTGATCTTTGCTTCAAGAGGTATACTACTTCCCTTTTAAGCTTTCTTTGTATACTTGTTTTTCTATCTATTCCTACTGTTTTTGGGCTATTTTTGGGCTATGAAAAACTCTATTTTTGTGGGTTGAAATTGACGTTTTAGGGCATTTAAGGTTAGGAGTATCTCACCATTCTTTATTCCTTGTTGGTAAGGCTTTTCCACCTTTGTTTCCCACCTTCAAACTATCTTTTTTGGGGCTTTTGAAAATTGAATTTCAAAGTATTTTCAGTGGTAAAAACCATGTTTTGAAGTCCAAAATTGGCAAGGTTTGCCTCCCCTCCTTGTGTCTAGTTTGCTAGCCTAGTTAGCTCTATGTGTTAGCTTATTTTTCTAGTCATTTGTAGCTTAATTTCTACATGTTTTAGACTCTATTTTAGATTGTTTTGTCTCTAATTTTGGCTGGTTGTTGCATTTGGGTCTTGTTTTGCGTGCCTCTAATGTAATAGTCCTCACAAGCTTGGTGTTTTAGGCCTTTAGACACCCTTTGTTTGAGTTGATTGCCATGTTTTAGTGCTTTTCTCACTTCATTTCAGCACTTATAAATCTCTGCAATCTCCCTCATTTCTTCACTCTTTATTTGCTTTGAGGGTTGTTTCAACCTTAAGATAGCTTAAGCTTGAGATTGAGGTTCATTGCTTAATGGTTTAACCTTCTTTTGGGGATTCATTACCAACGGCATGACATCTCTCTCTTGCTTTAAACTACCCCTTGTTTGACACTTCTTTCTCTTGAGAAGATAACTCACCAATGGAATTAATTGGTTAAGGAATAGAAAGGTAATTAAAATGAGTAAATAAAAATGGAAACTAAAATTGTGCAAGTTAAGAAATTGGTTGTGTTTTGATGTGTTCAATCGGACGTTAATTGAACACAAGGAAAATTGGGACATTTCATAGTCAAAGTGATGAAATGTGCCAAGTTTCTTAGGTCTCCATTGCCCTTGATCATACATGATATGGTGAAGGTTATGAGTCTTATTTGTGCATTTATTAACTTGTACATCTTGGTTTCTTAGCCATCATGCAATGAAATTGCTCGATTGATGGTTTGAGGACCAAGTGTATCACTCATTTGAGATGTTTTGATGATAAGGAGGGATACACAATACAAACAACCTGTGAGAATACCCTCTATTTGCCTTGTTTGCTCTCTCTGTTGTAGCAAAAATAGTGTGTCATCAGTGGCTGGTCGGCCACTATTACTGGCCTGCCGGCTACCAATGTTGGACAGCAACCCCTGAATGGTGGTTGGCCGGCCACCACTTCTAGCCTGACGGTCACTAATGAATTTTGGGCAGTGTGCTTGTGAAGCATGACAAAGTTGATCTGGAGAAGGAAAACAATGCATGGGTTGTGCAAATAGAGGCTTTCGAGGGCAGACAGTACATGTTCTTCGGGTGGAAACCAAGCATGCATGGGCCTTCTTCGCTTCTTGGGACTAGTTAACTAATTAATTAGTTTAATTAACAATTAATCATTTATTTGTTGTAATTAATTAGTTGCAGCTAATTAGTTTGTGTTGTAATATTTAATTAGTTTAGTTAGTTGTAGCTAATTAGTTTGTGATGCAATATTTAATTAGCTTAGCCTAGTTAAATTCTTAATTAATTAGCTTAGATACATAGTTAATTATTCATTCAAGTGTTGTAATAATTAGTTAATTAGTTTAGCTATTTATTCAGTTTGTAATAATTAGCTTAATCAGCTTAGCTTTAATGAGTTGCTAGTTAGCTTCTATTCATTCGGACTTTTCTTCGTGAGAGCATAATGTAATAATGTGTATGTCTTCTATCCCCACATCTTTCTCCCTTTTATTTAACCGCTTTTGATGGTTAGATTAGGGACATCGGGTTTCAATTAGCATATCGCATGTTTGCATCCATTCATCTTGTATTGCATGCACCGAGGCTCGATTCATCATTCAAACTGCATTGTCATTTCAATACATTCGTTGAATACGTGTTTAAACGCATGCTATGAAATTGTTGCAAATAACATGTTAAGTAGCCGAGCTTATTTTAATTGTATATTGCATGTGCTACATTAGTCATATTGCATAAGTTAGGAATCATGCATATTTTTCTAACTCTTTTGTTTATCTTAGCTTGGAGTACTAGGTGAGTTTTTAACGTTTTAGCATACTTGCATGAGTGTGAGTGATTTCCATGACTAGCATGCTTGCCATGAGGCTACATGCTTACTTGTTGAACTGTTTGAATGCCTGTGGATAAAGGCTTGTTGCTTGAATTGGAACAATTCGATAAATTTACGTTTAATCCCACTTTGTCAAGTGGCAAATTCACAAACCTTTAAGCCCATTTGAGGTGGCAAAATCATACCATTTTCGAAAAACAAACATGAAATTGAATTGTTCTAATTCGGGCAAACTAGTCTATACTTGCTTGTGCGCATCACGTAGTAATGCTAGCCTAATAAGCAGAACAAGAGCATATAATGGTGATAAAAAATCATATTATGATTAGCAGAGGCCGATCTTTGATCAAGCGAGCGGGGGTGCTCAATTCATGACGTTCCCCTTGCGTACCTAAGTTCCCAAGCCGAAGCAACTTTGGTGATAATGGACAAGTGGCCTTTACCACGAGTCATGGGTTTCCTAAATTTTCCCAAAATAAAATATTTAGGTGGTGACTCTGTATTTGGTAAAGCAGTCTAATTTTGGCATTTTTGATTCAAAAATCAATTTTTCAAATGATTTGTCGGATTTGGACTCTTTGGTGTTTATCAATTTCACATTGCACTTGTGAGATTAGATTCAAAATCGCGGGAGTCTGAATTGTAGGGCTTTCTTTCAAGCTTCCGAAAGGGGGCGCGAAAAAGCCGAGCTACAATTTCTGGCGACTCTGTTGGGAAAATTAGAGAACTTGACTCAAACTCATGATATGAAGATTTATCTGCACTTACGTGTTTCTTTGCATTGCATTTTGCATTGGTGCACTTAAGTCACTGTGTTTGCCATCTGCTATTCCTGGACAGTTTGCCAGAGGCTTGCCTAAAAAGCTTGCCAAAAGGCTGACCAGTCACGGCTATGCCATGATGGGCGCACAACCCTTGGATCTGGACTACCGCTATACCATTTGATCCTCCTTTTACTTCTCGGTGTAAGGCGTGAGAGGTATATTAGGTAGTCTTATTGAGGTATCCTTTTTGACCATTTGGCCTAGTTGCATATTGAAAGCCGTAGAGACTGTTCCAAACTAGGACAAGATGCTCACCCAAATCCAGGATTGTGTGAAACACTTTTGTTTGAATAGTGAACCCTAGTTCCTGACGAAACTAGGACAGGGTAACCCTACCCCCTCATAGGGGTGTTTTGGCTCTCACTTAACTGGTATGTGCTTTTAGAGTGAAACTCTACAAGAATGTGCGTATCAGTTGAAAGTTTGGGTATCAGATTTGGGGGCAGAAATCAGTGTTAAGTACAGTTCTGCAACTTTTGATTACAATTGTGTGTTGTTAACGTCTGAGGTGAGGTGCTGTGCGGTTTCTGATTTTTGTTTTCCTTTTGCTTTATTTCTTTTTGCAAGGTAGTTTATCACAATTGCTTTGGATAGTTCGGTTACCCCCCCAAGCACTCTGGACCC